TTGGGCCGAGCAGGAATTGGCTCGGCCTGTACCATTGGTAACGGATTATTTCTTGGTGGCAAGCGCTGGAAAGGATCGAAAGGCCTGCCGTCACTGAATTTACTAACCAGCATTTCGAGCAGTCTGGTTTGCTGCTCAGTGGAATTGAGTATCACGTCATGTAGCTTGTCAATACCTCGGCTAAACGTCTGCTCAACTGACCGAGACTGCTCGTCGAGTCGCTTTCGAAGAAACGACCTTGTTGGTGGGTCAGATCCTTCACCGCCATCCTCGTCGCAATCCTCCACTATCCCTTCATTGAGAACACAAGTGTTCCTGTTAGGGATTTCTAGACTGCGGTGTTGACCGCCGAGATTAACTTCCCTTTCTCGGTGAGTCGCACTTGTGGACTCAGGTGTCCCGGCGCTAAGGGGATTCTGCGCCTGTGGCACACTTTGTCCTACGTTCTGAATCGGTAAATCGGCTGTTGATTTTCCCATAGCTGTTTTCTTTTTTACCGATCGCGTTTCAATTGGCATGAACTTCGTAGTTTTAGCACTGGGTCCCACTGGGCGTGCCAAAATGTTGACCCTAAAATCTACCAAGCCTACGTGGCGCGCAGGCCGAGTATATTCTAAGCTAACTACGTCCTTCGGTGATTGCGGGGCGTGCCAACTCGTCGGCCGAGGCTCGGCCGAGGAGTAAATTTGATGATGTTGCGTTGGGTCGCGCTACTGACTTCTGCGTCTTGCGATTGCGGCCGAGAAAGGAACACGTCTCGGCCTCTTGGGTTCTCGAGCCTGAAGACAAGGCTGCTATTTCTTACAAAGTTCACGAACCGAATTCGGCTTTCAATGTGCCGAATGTAATAACTGTGACACCTCACCTCGCCGAGAAGGCTAATGAGATGACCTCGACCAACAAGGATTCGAAAACCCTTCTCGACCGAGACTTGGATAGGTAATCGACCGTTCTCGCCGCAGTGCTGTTGATGCCAACGGAAGATACTGCGAGACCGACCAATTCTACGGTGACAGAGCTATCTATGCCGACTTAAGATATCACCGGTTGCTTCCACAGTGCTGTTGATGCCAACGGAAGATGTGTCAGCGAAAAAGGAAAAGAAAAAGATCTCAAGTTGTGAGAGTTTGCGCAGGGCAATTTTGTGTTGATTTTGTCGGGCGTTTCCTGATGCACAGCTTCCGCTATTTATAGCACTGGACCCCGAATCTGAGATAGAATCCTATTCGGACTAGGTTTTCCCTCTCCGGATCAATATCACCTCGACCAGTCCTGTTTTCATTAGGATTGTGAACCTAGTCCTTATTCGAGCCCTATCCGCTTCTAGGCTGTTAATCCTGCCGAGAATCCCTATTGTATCAGGACTCGGCTTGTCATTGCATTTTGACCTAACCGGCCTAGGTTTGGAAGCCCATAAGCTGAACGATCCATGGTCTTCTTGTCGCAAGGCCTTCCGGGCCGAGAATGGTTCTACACTCGGCCCAAACTATTATTTTGGGCCCAAACAGACAGTTGAAAAGTTTATTATTTCCTTCCATATACAACCTCTCTTCAATATAATACTTTTCTGTCACGGAACTCTTCCTCCAGGCTCGGATCACCCTTTATTTCCAAACATAGTAAATACTGCTTACAAATTACAATGGAAACCAATTTCCAGAAATGTTTTGGAGGTTTAAAGATTCAGGAATTGCACGAGTTTCCAAAACTATTTGGGAGTTGCATGAGTTTGAGGACTGTCTCTGAGAGGTAACTTATCGGATGGGACAATTCCTTAATCCTTGAGTTCTTTGAGAGGGGTTGAATATTTCGATCTTTCTCGTAGCAACCTTTCCGGCAGAATTCCCAACTATTTGGAGCGTTTCAAGTTGCAGAATTTGAACCTCTCATTACAATTTTGAAGGTGCAGTAGCAATGCAAGGAATTTTAGAAAACACAAATTTAATTTCTAACATGGGAAACACACGGCTATATGGCGGTACACCTAATTTAAGATTGCCCTTATGCTTTATCTAAGAAAGTACTACTTCTTAGGCTGAAAATATTCTCTCAATTGCTTGTGGGGTTGTTGGATTGATCGTAGTGTTGTAACTTGTGCTTCTTTTGCCGATCAAGAAAAGCAAGAGAACTTAAGTCAACTTGAGGATCTAGGGGTTTCGCTCTTGAAATTGTCTTATGGAGATCTCAACAAGACAATTCTCAATCAGCATAGGAAACTACCGACTGCTTGTTCAAGCATCGATTTTCACGGAAACGAGTTCAAGGCTTTGGTTAACTGGTTCAAGGTGAAAGGGAGCCTAGAAGAATGGCTGAATCGGTCAATTCAAAGAGTAAACATGTCAACCAATCTGCAGAAGCATTCAGATCTTATTCAGAGAGTAAACATTGCCATTGACCTAGGGTCTGCTCGGGATTATTTGCACAATCGCTCTCACAGGCCAATAACCGATTAACATTCTCTTGGACGATGGCCTGACTACCTGTTTTGGTGATTTCGGTTTAGCATGTTATTTGTCAGATGCTTCTTCCATACTTCCTTCACCTGAAAGCTCTTCGAACGGAATAAAAGATTTCATTAATTTTTTGAAGTTACACTTAAAGAACATGGCTTTTCTTTTTTGCGCAAATAAATTATAGAGTATGGAACGGGAAGTGAGATGTGAGCTTATGGTGATGTCTACAGCTATGGAATTCTGCTATTTGAGATGCTGACTGGCAAGTGGCTGACAGATGACATGTTTAAAGATGGTATGAACCTACACAACTTTATCATGATGGCTTTGCCCAAATGTGTGGAGGAAGTATGTCGTCCACTGCTTCTTCAAAGAGAAGAAAGTAACACTAGCACTAAAGCCACATACAATGCGGGATATCGTGCCCCAGATGATGAAGGACAAAGAGTTGAGGCATGCTTGATTTGCGTTGCAAGAATAGTAGTTGCTTATTCTGCAGTAATGCCGAGAGAGCGAATGGACATGAACAATGGCGTAGCTGAATTATGTTAAATACGGGGTTAGCTGACAAGAAACCAATTGCAGCAATTAACAAGTTTTTTATTTTTAGATAAACAATCAATTTAACAATTTGATAACAAATTCTTCAAAACCACAACTTCCACTCAGTTTCTCAGCACCAGAAATATCAAACCAACCCAAAACCAACAACTTTCAACAAAATTGCACAAAAGAATCAAAATTTAATTGCTATACCCTACCTCCTCCATTCTCTGAGAGCCAAGCCCTCCTCAGGCAGCATCTCCGACGGAGGCGGCAAAGTCGGATCGTCGGACACGCCAAAACCTCCATCAAAGCCCTGGCCGTTTGATTCGGCGTAGATCGACGGAGGAGAGAAGGCCTCCGACGCCGGGTGAGTGGCGAAAGCGTCGTCTACGGCGGAGCCGTGGAGGATTGGGGAATACGTGGCGGAGACCCTGAGCGACTCGGAGTCGACAAAGGAGTCGAATCACTGGGAGGAGGGTCTGGGGTCGTAGCCAACCGTCGTCGTCGAACGGGCGAGTTGAGCCGGTGGTCGGGACCTAGTCGTCTTCGGGCTGAGGGAACGAGGCCATGATGCACTGATGAGCGAAATGCTCCCAAGGGCAAAACTCACGCAGGAAGAATATCGGCACGCTTTATGTTAGGCTGGGCCGACTCACTGGGCCTTCATTTGGTCCCTGACAATATCTGGTCCAATGTTTGAATTCACTTCCCTAGAGCCCGCTTCCGCTCCTCGATTCGCTACCCAGAAGATCAAGTTCTCAAGGTTCGATGTTTCCTCTGAACTTCTTCCCTCCTGCTCGATTTGGATTGGAACGAAAAAGCTCCAACATGGAATCAATTTCTTCCCCCTCACCGATTATTTATTTCGGTATTGCATTCATATTGGCTTTTTCATTTTTATTAATTTTGGTTATGTGATTATTGATTATTGTTCGTCATTTTATTTTGGGTTTTTCTTTCTGTTGTTTTTAGGGTTTTCTGCTCTGCAAATTTCGATCAAATTGTCTGCATTTCAATTATTTTGTAATTATCGTAATTTATATCGGGTGGAATTGGCCTTTCTATTCTCCAAAATCTTTTTTAGGAATTGCATTTTGCTTAAATTTTGCGAGTTCAAAAAAAAATTGAGACTTTTTCTGATTTTAAATTATTTACACAGTTCCAAAGCACTGTGTGTTAAACAGTGGAATTTTGATTGAGATTGTAGTAATTGCCGTACAAGTTTATACTTTTGTGTGGAGAAACCAGCTGGATTAATAATCATCTTATTTTGATCAAATTTTGCAGTATAAATCACGATCGCGTATTTGTTTGTATCAGTGCATGCTATTGCTAATCACCAAATTAATTACGTTTGTTGAAATTTTTGGAATAATTATTTTTTAAATGCCTGATTACTTAAACCTCACTGAGAGAAAATTTTAGGGCGTTGTGCACAGGTAATTGGAGCTACTGCAACGTTTTATCATTGACATGGTTGGAATGTGTAGAAATTTAACGGTGAGGGAGTAAATTTCTATTTAAAATAATTCAAATGACCGTGATCATAAATTCAGTGGCAAATTGATAAAGTAGTCTTGAACTAAATTAACCATCTACTTAGAGAAACATTAACAAACATCTGCATGCACATTTATTCCTAATATTGTGGACACTATATAATGATTGCCTAGGCTATTGTTGTGTACCAACTTGCATTCCAAATTTGAAAGATCATCTTTTACCATATGGTGCACTTTTACCTGAGAATGTAGCGTTTATTGTGATTAATTGTTCAGTTTACATGTTTTTTGTGGTGCACCATATGGTGATGCATAAGCTTGAGAGGTCCTCTGGATTTTGGTAGTTGCAAATTTGCAATGATCAAGAAACATGGGACATGGTACTAGAAAATGTGTTTGATGTTGGGATACGATGAATCATGATCGGGTTATGATTAATGCTAATTAATGATATGGATCAAATGCTTGCAATGTGTATTTATGATTGGATTAAAGGAGTTTTGGGCTTTTTCTCTAATGAAAGTTATAAAACAAATTGTAATTTTAGGTACTTCACAAGTCAGAGGTCAAGTCTTAAAATATCTTTCGTAATGTTTTCAAATAAATGTTTTCAATTTTTGCACTGGGATACTGAGATTTGAACCAGTCCAAGGTAAAAAGGTTGATAACGTTGCACAAGACTGGAACTTGCATAGTAGTTTAATGTTCAGTTCAATGTACAATTAGTTTCTCTTTACATGCCTATACTCCCAAGAGATAAATTCAGGTATTGCATGTTCGATTTTAGTTGTTTTTAAAGTTAATCATCCACTGCTTCTTCTTTGATTCATGTTTGTTTCTCTCAACCAAAAACCAGAACCTTGCTTCTCCAACTCTCTCTCGCAGTAGAACTACATCTACCACCAAGCAGGCTCTTCGAGCTTCAGTCCGGGGGTAAGCTTCTCTCTTTTGAATGGATTCAACCATCGATCTGGTTTTCTGGTGGAAGTCATAATTTTCATCGCAATTTTTGTCCAAAAATTTTAAATTTTCTCTTAGAAATTTGAGAAATGAAGATTCTCTGTTTGTTTGTCTGTTGTGGAGACCCAATCTGAATTGTGTGTTCTGGTCGATCTTGGATAATTCCCTTAGAATTAATGGAATTAAATTGTCCCAATTATGGTGTTTTTGTTTTTTTGGTGTTAGATTTGTTTAATTATTGGGTTTTTGGAATTTTAACTAAACTCACGTTATAGATCATGACATGATGATAACAAAAGGACTAGTAGATTTGTGTATGCGATGAGTTTTAGTGAAAATTATACCATCGCAGTGAGGAGAAATCTTCTGCACCCAAAATGGGTGTGGCTTCTCTGTGGTCTCAATGAGTGTCTGCCACCTATTAAATTCATGAAAACAAAATTAAGAAAAGTTAAGATATTTAATAGGTGTCAGATATTCATTGGAGCCACAGAGAGACCACATCCATTTTGGGTGCAGAAGATTTGATCTCTTGTAGTGAGTGGTTTTTCGGACTTTGGTTTTCGCACTACAAGGATTAAAAACTACCATGTCCAATTAAATTATGAGTTTAATAAAGGTTAAAGTGAAAGTTTAATTAAAAGAAATTATCCCTTAAAACCCCCCTATTCTCCGCAATTAGTTCTAGATTTTACACATCAATGGCTTTCTTTATCATTTTTTCTTAATGGGTTATCGATTCCTGTTTTCAGCTTTCGTTCTTCTCTCTCAGAACCCAGCTCAAGTCCTCAGGTAAAATCCATCTTCCACTCTTCCTTGGTTTTTTCTTCTCAGCATTTAACAGTACTATTCTCTTTATGTTTGGGTGAAATTCTGTAAATTTTGTATTTTTTTTATCAAATTTGATTCTTAATTGTGGAAATGGGGTTGAATATATTGTGGTATTAATTTTGCACACAAAGATTGAGGGGTTTGTTTTTATGCTTTCAAGTTTGGTTATTGAGAGGTTGAAGGTATTATTTAAGTTTTTATTTAGTTTTTGTGGATATGAAAATCAGGGCTGCAGACCCTCATCCATCACATTTTAGTTTCTCTTTTTGCTTCTCCCTTTTGGTATTTTGTGGAACCAAATTTGTAATTTTTGTGTATTATGAAAGTTGAATACGTTGGAATCAATCAGTTCTTCATTTTTCATGTATATGGAGAATGCTGTTTTCTGCACTTTTATGGTTTTGGGTAGTATACTGGTATTACATTTTTTTATAGAACTTATGGTTTTTTTTTTTTTTTCAGTTTTATAACAAGAGTGAACTCTAAGGGTTAAAATTTTCACAGTTTTGGTACTTTCCTTGGTGAGAGTTTGGTTTTGAATTTCTTGGTAAGCGAATCATTTTTTATATTTAGTTTTTTAATATCGGGAAGAAATGAAAACGAATTTTGCTTTTTTCGAGTATTTCATCAGTACTAGCTTGCAGTATTTATTATTAGGAAAACTAATGAAAAGGGCTTGAAAACTTTGAGTTTTAATGATAAGGACAAAATAAAGGGTAAAGTGAATAGTACCAGGATTGACTTTTTAATGTAAAAATGTGGTTTTTCGTTAAAGTGAACAGTACCGGGTGCTTTTCGTTAAAGTTCCCTTTATTATTCTGTAGGTGTAAATATAGTTCCCTAAGCAAGCTTGCTTATTTTTCAACTCTTTAACTGATGTGTGACTTCTAACTGTAATTTTTCGTATTTCTTGTTTTATGTTTTGATTATTGAATTTGAAATCACTTAATGAAATGAAATTGCCAAACCATGTTAGAGTGTAATTTTACGCGTTCCATTTGAGTTTACAAACAACATTTGCATTCATATGTATCTTTTGTTCAGTGCCTATCACCTGTTTGATAAAATATACCAGAGAAACACACACGCCCGCACACACGGTTTTCTCAGTTCTTTGTTCTCTGTTTTTAGATGCTTCTGGATTTAGAATTTCATGGGTGAAATGCCTCTGGGCATTGGGTCTAAATTGCAGGTGTGAAAACACAGAGCCAGCAAAGCTTCGGAGAGAGGATGCATGAGTTTCCTAAATATTTCAATGTCTTATTTTTTCGTCAAGAACCAACGTGTTAGTTACTCGAGGAATGCAACACTTATCACATATATTTGTATTATTATTTCTACCGCTTTTCTAATAGAGGTTTGTATTATTTTGGAAAGGCTCCATCTCAGCTCAATAATCTTAAACCTCTTGGAAAGGTTTCTCTTGTTAATGCATTTGATAATTCTAACTTCTTTTTGTAACTTATTTGGAGAAGTTTCATGAGATCGACATTTTTTTTAACATGTTCGGTAATTTTTTTTTTGGCTTAAACCTATATGGTTAGTAGTAATACATTTTTCAGTCATGGCATTTCGAAGGACAAATTTTATTTTCGGGATTTAATTTAGATTTCGAATCCATTTGCAAGAAATTTTGCTAGATTAGTCTCCAAGGTGTGGGAGCAGGCATATCCAGATTTGTCTTTATGAAAATATGAATCAAATTCTTAGAGAAATTATGTGGATATCGGTATAGTTTTGACAAATCAAAGCTAAAAACAGCGTTGATCCAATTTTCTTTCTATTGATTTACAAGGCTGTGATGTCTATTAATTCCCTAGTCTTAATCTAACAGTGAAAGCATTTATTTGCCCTCACAGACTATCAAAGCTGTTTGTCGTGTTCCCAATTCGGAACGAAGCGATGCAACCCAATTCGGACCCTGAAATTAACTCCATTCTTTGCGTCAACCAACAATTACATAAGTATCCAGAGCTTCATTTTGCAGCCTAGCTAAAATGGAGTTCTCAAGTTTTCATATTAGCATTCGGTTTATTTTCATGCAACCACTCTTTCTTCTCTTTCTTTTTAGCTCTGCCTCCTCCTCCCGTTTAGCGGGAAATAAGGTGGATAGGCTTTCCTTGCTTGCCTTCAAAGCAGAAATCGTGACTGAGACCCTCGGCATCTTTAGCTCTTGGAATGAATCCCTCCACTTCTGTCATTGGCCAGGCATTACTTGTGGCCGCAGACATCGGAGGGTTACAGTGCTCGACCTCCAATCAAGCGGGCTGGCAGGCCACCTATCTCCCCACATTGGAAACTTGAGCTTTCTGAGGATTTTACACCTCCAAAACAATAGCTTCAGCCACACCATTCCTCCAGAAATTGGTCGTTTGTTCCGCTTGGAAAGACTAGGCCTTTCTAACAACTCCTTCAGTGGTCATATCCCATTCAACATATCACGTTGCTCTAACCTCCAATACCTTGGCTTATTTGGCAACATTCTTAGTGGCGAACTTCCAACTGAAATTGCCTCATTGTTCAAGCTTCGGGTACTTGATTTGGGCAAGAACAATTTTTATGGGATAATCCCACCTTCTTTTGGGAATCTTTCTTCTCTTCAAGGGCTATCTGCAGCTGGAAATAATCTCCATGGAGGTATTCCAAATAGGCTTGGCCAGTTGAAAAGCTTAGTGATTTTTTCACTGGCTACAAATTATTTGAATGGTACCATCCCTCCCTCCATATACAACCACTCGTCAATTGAAGCCATTTATATGTGTCAAAACAACCTTCATGGAACTCTTCCTCCTGGCTTGGGCCACACTATATTTCCAAACCTCGAAACCTTTGTTTTCCATACCAACCAATTCACTGGACCAATACCAGCTTCAATCTCCAATGCCTCAAACCTTTTAGTATTTTCTATCTCATCCAATAAGTTTATTGGGAAAGTGCCTAGTCTGGCACGCCTGTCAAATTTGTATTGGTTTGAACTTGAACAAAACAATCTTGGAAATAATGAGGAAGGTGACTTGGATTTCATCTCTTCTCTAGTTAATTGCACCAATTTAGAAGCTTTTTCTGTCGGCCTCAATAATTTTGGAGGAGTGCTGCCTGAATCTATCAGCAATCTCTCAACAAAGCTCAGGGTAATAGGTTTTCAAGAGAATCAGATACGCGGAAACATTCCCATCGGGGTTGGAAATCATATCAACTTGGAGAGACTAGGCTTTTCTACAAATTTATTGGTTGGCACTATACCGAGTTCAATAGGTAAACTGAATAAGCTTTATGACCTATTTCTAGATTCGAATGAATTGTCAGGTAATGTTCCATCATCTCTAGGAAATCTAACTTCATTAAGCAGATTGAATCTCCACTCAAACAAGTTACAAGGCAGCATACCACAAAGTCTCGGAGACTGCAGGTTTATGTTATATTTGGATCTTTCCTACAACAATCTTAGCGGTCCAATTCCAAAACAAGTCATCAATTTATTGGTTGACTTGGATCTATCTGGAAACCAACTTACTGAATCCATTCCCATGGAAGTGGGTAACTTACAGCATCTTGTTTTCTTGGATGTTTCTCAAAACAAGTTTTCTGGTGAGATTCCACAAAGCTTAGGGAGTTGCACAAGTTTGACGACTCTGTCTCTGAGAGAAAATTTATTGCAGGGGACAATTCCTAAATCCTTGAGCTCTTTGAGAGGAATTGAATATTTTGACCTCTCTCTCAACAACTTGTCTGGCATAATTCCCAACTACTTGGGGAGTTTCCCCTTCTTGCAGAATTTGAACCTTTCATTTAACAATTTTGAAGGTGCAGTACCAATCCAAGGAGTTTTTAAGAATGCAAGTGCGGTATTTGTTGTGGGAAACACACGGCTTTGTGGAGGTATACCTCACTTAAGATTGCCTAAATGCATCTCCAAGCAATCTAAGCGCTGGTTATCTCCTAAGCTGAACTTAATTATCTCAGTTTCCTGTGGGATTGTCGGCCTGGTCTTGGTGTTGTTACTTGCGCTTCTTTATCGATCAAGAAAGGCTAGAGCGCTCAAGTCAACTTCAGGATCATCAATGGGGGTTTCACTCTTGAAACTATCCTATGGAGATCTCCTCAAAGCAACTGATGGGTTCTCTGCTTCGAATTTGATTGGTTCTGGAAGTTCCGGGTCCGTGTACAAGGGAGTTCTCAATCAGTATGAAGAAAGAAATGTTGCGGTGAAAGTACTCAATCTTCAAACTTCAAGAGCTTCTAAAAGTTTCATATCTGAATGTGAAGCCTTGAAAAACATTAGGCATCGAAATCTCGTCAAGCTACTGACTGCTTGTTCAAGCATTGATTTTCAAGGAAACGATTTCAAAGCCCTGGTGTATGAGTTCATGGTGAATGGAAGCCTATATGAGTGGCTGCACTACATATCAGCTCAAGGAGTAGATAGGCCAGCCAATCTGCCAAAGAATCTGAATCTCACTCAAAGAGTTAACATTGCCATCGATGTAGCGTGTGCTCTGGATTATTTGCACAACCGCTCCCACATGCCAATAGTTCATTGTGATATAAAGCCCAGCAACATTTTGTTAGACAGTGATATGACTGCTTGTGTTGGTGATTTCGGTTTAGCAAGGTACCTCTGGGATGCTTCTTGCCCATCTCCTTTGCATGAAAGCAGTTCCAATGTCATAAAAGGCACCACAGGCTATGCTCCCCCAGGTAAATTTTCTTTTATATATATTTTATTTGTGCTTGCACTATGGTTTTGTATATAGCATGAGTTTTTTGAAGTCACACATAAGAACAAAGCTACGTTTTTGTGCATATAACTTAAAGAGTATGGAATGGGAGGCAAGGTGTCAACATATGGCGACGTGTATAGCTACGGAATATTGTTGTTGGAGATGCTAACTGGTAAGAGGCCGACAGATGACATGTTTAAAGATGGTATGGACCTGCACAATTTTGTTATGATGGCTCTACCAGAACGTGTGGGAGAAATATGTGATCCAGTACTTGTACAAGTAGAAGAAAGCAGCAGCAGTACTAATCCCAGAAGTAATAGGGGGAATCATGCCACAAATGATCGAGGAAAAAGGGTTGTGGGGTGCTTGACTTCCATTGCAAGTTTAGGAGTTGCTTGTTCTGTTGCGATGCCGAGAGAGAGAAAAGACATGAGCAATGTGGTAGCTGAATTGAGTCTAATAAAGGATGTGCTAACTGGAACTAGGATGCCTAGAGAGAACCCGTGATGACGACCCAAGTAGTGAGTAATAATACCCTGTTATCATTAAATAAAATCCCATGACGGTGCTTGAATTTTGCATGGTGATCTTCTGAATGATGACGAGGAGGACTGGAACAAGTGAAGTGGATTTTCCCGTTGTGCAATTTCATTTTGTATGTTTTGTGAATGATCTTAATTTGTAAGATCGTCTTTATGTTTGCTTGGAAATCTGGAATTTGTCAATTTTAGTTTGGTTCATGTTCTTATAAATAAATTATGCAATTTTAAGTTTGGTATTTGTCAATTTAAGTTTGTTTCATGTTCTTATAATTAAATTATACAATATTAAGTTTGGAATTTGTCAATTGAAGATTTTGACAAATATTTTTACATTTCTTCTGAGCCTTTAGATTTTATAGCATCCAATGGTCCTAATTAAGAGTGATGTGTGTTGTGAATAATATGTGGATGACCCACATGAAAAATTTGTTACTATTTATGCACAGTATTTTCACTATTCATTTGTGGAAAATTTGTAAAGTGAATATTGCTTTCTTTTGTTTATAAAAGGAAGAAGAGAAGATGAAAGTATGATGTTCACGGGAGAGATAGGAAGGAAGAAAGAAAGAGAGAAAAGAGAGGAAAAGTAGAGGAGATAATAGAGAGAGTTATCTTTGTACTCCTATTATTCCAAATTATAATGAAAGCATCACTGTTGCCTGGAGAACGTACTCCAGTCACACGGACTGTAGAGAAATCGCGTAAATTTTATGTCTTGTTTCATTTATTCCACTGCACACACCGTCGATTTTACAACAATGTGGAGACTTTTAGTCATTAAATAATATAGTTGATAAAGTGGATTATTAACTAATATAATAAATAAACAAATAAAGATCAAAACTTAAAATGAATAAAAACTGAGAGTTTCGCTAGAAAGGTAAAAACCCTAGAAGCCTATTTGACTCTTGTGAACTCGCATCCAAAGTCTACTACATCTTTGGAGATTGGGGGATGGAGATTTCCCTAAATTCCAACGATTTGATTAACTGTAGAATGTTGAGTAGTTTATTGTTTGCTATTTAATGGTTGCAAAAAGTTAAAAATTGGGTGGAAAACTAAAGTGGTAAACTCTGCAAACGTGAAGAAAGATGGTTGGATATTAAAATTTCATGAGGAAAATTGTAATTGAATGAGGAACACAAGTCATATTTTCATGCGGATAGAAGAATTTTTTGGAATGACATCATTCTTGTTTTGATTTTTTTTTTTTATTTTCATGGTAAAAAAAATAGTATTATATAGCCATGAAGAAGCATTCACTGCATCAAAGACAATGATGAATTTCGTCAATGTCATATTGCAGACCTTTTTGTTGTTGTTGGAGAGTTGCAGACTTAAACAGCAAAGGGATCAGGAAGGAAGCTGGATCTATTTTAACTTCACAATATTCCTTTATCAAAATATTTATTTGAAATTTATTTTATTTCCATGTCATTGCCACATCATTTAGTAGTCATCTTAACTTTTAATTAGAAGCGTTAGATGTAAATAAATCCAAGAGCTTATAAAAAGTGTAAAAATACTTTTCAAAATGTTTATCCCTTGATCATATCCCATATATATATAAGCCTTTTCGTAGACAGTCCGCAAAAATGAACGTTAAGCACACCTCTTGTATTGTTAATAAATTTTACTCAATTTGCTCATTTGATGGTTTTGGTAGCCCAAGTATCAGGCCGGGTAGCCCAAGTATCAGCTTCCCACATTATTCTTTATTATGACCAACAAATTGAATAAATTATATAAAAACAATAAACATAATTAAATAAGAGCGTACGTAAAACTAGAAAATGTGTGCATCCTTATCAACAATAACATCATGATTATTAAGGATTTATTTATTTCTTGTCAATGTCATGAGACAACATGGAGTCATAGACGAGGCAATCTAGTCAACAACATGCCGACGTATCGAGATGACATCGATTTAACCAGCGTATTTGCAATGTCACAAAATGCCTTGCAATTTGCAACAGTATTAACTATGAGAGTACTCACATGAGGGCAACTGCAGGAGAAACTTGTCAATGTACCATTTGCATGAACCTTCCTCTCCACTAGAAAAAAACTAGCTAGCGAGTCTTTATGTTTTACTTTTTTTTTTCTTCTGGGTGATGCTACATTTATCATGTTTTTCATATCGTATTTGTTCTTCCTAATACGAACATTTAATAAATAACGTCTAAGTCGCATTCTACTATCTATGATAACGCTATCTGTTTTTTTTTTCTTTTCAGTTTTTTTTTTCACTACATCTGCAAGCTCGACATGACTTTTTAAAGAGCTAATTAAGAAGAGCAATGATATACTTACTAAAGTTTTCATACTACATTTGTACCACCTTGTTAATAAATGTACGACTCACCAATACACGTGGTCTTATCCTATTAAAGAGGTGATACAAATATAATATGAAAAATGTAGTAAGAGTATATATATATAGCATTTTTGACGAATTATTGCAAGTGCCAAAGTTGTTTGTTGTGTTCCCCAAACCGTCAACCACGGCATGCATGCAGAAACCAGCTGTGGGACCTAATTCGGACGCTAAAATTGGCTCCTTTCATTGCGTCAACTTACTGTTACATAAATATCCATAGTTTTATTTTGTAGCCTAGCCAAAATGGAGTTCTCAAGAAACTTTATTTTCGGGATTTTATTTAGATTTCAAATCCATTTCCAGGAAATTTTGCTAGATTTGTCTCCAAGGTGTGGGAACAGGGGCCTTTTAATTACCCTATTCATTTTTCCAAGCAACTGTAAAGTTGCCTACCAAAGCCCAATAATCCACATTCCCTTTCTTTTCCACCACTTTTTCTTTCCTCTTTTTGTTCCACTTCCGTGTGTTCCCTCTTGCTTTTATTTTATTTTAATTTTTTTTTTCTTCTCTTTCTTTCCCACTTTTTGTTCCACTTCCGTGTGTGCTCTGGCCACATATTCCCTTAGTAGTTCTTTGGCATGAACCAGCTTGGAAAGCAGATTGCAGTACACATCAAGGTTCCGGTCCACACTTCTTTTGTCAATGTTTAAGGCTCCACATAACTGTTGAACATAACCAAAGTGTAAATGCTCAAACATTGCTATCATCGTGCAAGGCCATTGAATAATTGACTCCAATTCTTTTGTTTGTTTTTATTATTTCCTTTTCTTCTTTTTGTTTGAAATTGATCCTAAAGCAGATTTAACTACACACTAACACAAGGTAAGGTAAAATGCAACCATTTTAACACAAAAACATCACAAAGACTTTAGAAATAGATGGTATAAATGCATGAAATATATGAGTGATCAAATACCCCCAAACTTACATTTTTGCTAGTCCTCTAGCAAAACAAAACACAAAACAAAACCACTCAACTAAGACTATATTCAACAACTTAGTAGCCAACTTCTCAATTCGATTTCATATATAAGTTCCAACCATGAAATACACTGCCAAGAAGTAAGTAACAAGTGCTCAATACATCATCCAATAGTTAACCAAATTTCCTTCAAACAAAACTTGAAATGTCATGTGTGAGCTAGTCTAGTCAATGCAATTCCAAGCTCCTTTAAATCATCATATGCAAACATATGAGCTTCTCACAAGACATACGCTCATTCACTCATAAGTTTTGGTTAATGTGTTTCACTCAAGTGATCTCATTGTACATGCCGCCATATGCTTGCTTGTCCACCTAACTCGCTATCGATATTTAAGTAATACCTTGGATCAATAGGACTTTATTACGGTTGTAATGGGGCTAAAGGTGATAGGCTAATGAAAAAAAGGATATGGAAATCAAAAATTTTGAGAAAGTACACTTTAGTAGTTTTCCAACACCTCAATATCACACCACTTCAAATTGAAAGCAAAATAATAAAACCTCGAGCACCAGTTACTCCCCAAATTCAACTTCAAAAGGAAATTTATACTCTACAAACACATTTTCAACAAATCAACACTCTCCAATTTTCTTTTCTTTTTTTTTTCTTTTTTTTTCTTTTTTTTCTTTTTTAAAGAAACAAATCTGCAAAGCTATGCATAAATCTGCAAAAGCTACATCACCCATCAAATTCACATTTCATTGTATACATATGCTCCATCCATCTTTCTACATAAATGAAACCCCCAAGAGCACAACCCATGTAATACTTTCTCAAAACAATAAAGAATCGATTTCTGTGTATGGGCTCAACTCCAATATCGGAGCATGGTAAAGAGATGTGGCTAACAAAGAAATGGCTTAGTTAAAGGCTCAACGGGCTACTATGGACACACATAGCATATAAGGTAGGCACGAAAGGCTCAAACGATCCAAAGATGGCCTCTATCACTTCCAAGTTATTACATGAATTGATTAATGAATCGAGAAGTAAAGCAAGTTATAGAGATACATGTACAGTGAGATCATACGCACAAGAAGGAATGAGATTGATGCATAATGGTTCAATCATGTATAGGCTCAAAAACTCACAAGGTTTACATAATCTCACATGATTCATATATGAAACGCTAAATCATGCTCAAGTTTCACATTGACAAGACTAGGCACATTTATTTTTCAAGTTGATTGCTGGAAATCACAGTTAACACAAAGACAACGAAAAGAACTTAGACTTCTTGAAAGTAAGAAGGAAATTAAGATCAAATCTTATCATTGAATTGAGAAGCTACAAACAACAACAAAAATGCAAAAACTTTTTTTTTATTTTTTTATTTTTTTTATTTTTTAACAAGAAGTAAACTAACGAAATATATTTCAACCCCCAAACTTAATTATAGCATTGTCCCCAATGATAATGAAAGGAATTTTTAACAATAAGACATAAAAATGGAAGGAAAGAAATACAAAATGAAATCAATACACATAAAGAAAAGGAAAGAACACACCAATTTGTGTAGGCGAGGAGAGCAGCAGTAAAAATGCATTTTTGTTCCATGGTAGAATTCCAAATCATCCCCAAACTTGTTTCAACACGTCCCATAATGCATAACAAATGTGTGAGTAACCCGTGGGATTAAGAAACTTTGCAAGAAGTTGTGGTAAAGACTGCAAAATCATTACCTGCATAAGGGAGCAAAAGTAGGACTTAGACACACAAACCAGAAAACAAGAGAAAAACAGAACAAGAACATTTAAAATTATTCAAACTAAAGATGAAAGATAGAAAACTTGGGTTGCCTCCCAAGAAGCGCTTTAGTTACTGTCTAGAGCTAGACATTATGTTGGCAGTTTGATTCA